ATAGATATAGAGAAGACAGACAGAGAGAGAGAGACGTGCAGAACGAGATAGACAGACTACGAGAAACAGACATCAGACAAACAGACATCCGAACAGACAGGTAGACAGACAGCCAATCAGAAACAGACTAGAACCTCGAGAGAACAAGAAGGCAGCGCGGGGGAAGAAAGTGGGGAGGAGGGGGAGGGGGGGGAGGGCCCATTAAGGCAAGGGGGAGCGGCCTTTTATCGCCGCCTCTGAATATATATTTTCTATTACCTATCCATTCGCACAGCGGGGCGCCCACAGCCTCCTGCACGCCTAATGGGGGGGGGGGGAAGGGTGGGCGTGATGGGGGGGAAGGGGGAGGGTGGCGGGAAGGGAGGGGGAGGGGGATGGAAGGGAGGTGGGAGGGTGGTGGGAAGGGAGGGGGGAGGGTGGCGGGAAGGAGGGGAGGAATGATGGGCGTGATAGGGGGACGGGGAAGGTGGTGGGAAGGAGGGGGGGAATGATGGGCGTGATGGGTGGGAGATGGGAGGGGGAGGGTGGTGGGAAGGAGGGGGAAATGATGGGCGTGATGGGTAGGAGGGGGGAAAGGATGGGCGTGATAGGGGAGGGAGGGAGAAAGGGGGAAAGGATGGGCGTGATAGGGGGAGGGTGGAGGGAAGGAAAGGGGGAAGGATGGGTGTGATGGGAGAGGGAGGAGGGGGAGAATGGGCGTGAGGATGGGCGGGGGGTGGTGATCGTGGGTGGGGTTTTTTTACGCTGTTTTGGGCGTCTTTCTTACCTTTTAGTATTTTTGAATTTGTGTAAGTTCTATTTTTCTTGAATTATGTTTTTTCATTATTAATTATTAGTTCTTTTTTTTTCTTTTTAATGTGTTTTTTATATTTTTTTTATTCTTTTTCTTTTTTTTTTCTTTTTCTTATGAATGAATTTTTTTTTTAATCTTTTTATTCTTTTTCTTTCCTTTTTTTTCTTTTTTTTTTCTTTTTTGAATGTATTTTTTTTTCTTTTTTTCTTTTCTTTCCTTTTTTTCTCTTTTCTTTTTCTTTGAATGATGTATTTTTTTCTTTTTCTTTTCTATTATTCTTTTTCCTTTTCTCTTCCTTCGGGTAAGTGTAGAGGAGTAAGGAATAAAAAAGGGAATTGAGAGAATCATCAATCGGGAGTCGCTCAGATCGGATAATCCAGCTGATTGCAATCTCTTTAAGTGTGGTGATGATGCTGAAGGTGGGTCGGGGGCTATTACGGTTGTCATCACCACCATCGGTTATCATCATCTCCAATACTAGTAGCACAGTCATCATTATGTTCATCAACAGCTAGAGCACCATCATCATTACTAATACATCACCATTAGAAGCAATACCATCAAACACAATACCCAATATCATCACCCACCAACACCATTACCACCATCACCCCACCATCATCACACACACCATCCATCATCATTCATTACCCACCCACACATCCATTCACCACACACCACCATCATCACCACCACCAATACACCATCATCATCACCACCACCACCAACCACACCATCACCACCACCACCAACCATCACCACCACCACCACCACCCACACACCACCACCCCACCACCACCATAAAAGACAACTAAAACCACCTCAACAACCCCCCCCTCCTACCCCCAACCCCAACCCCCCTCCCCCCACGCCCCCCCCCCACCCATCAACACCCCCCCCCCCCCACCCACCCACCCCACCCCAACCCCACACCCCGCCGTCAAAACACGTGCTCAACAGCCTGCCCGCCGAGGAACCAGCGGCGGTAAAGAGCGAGGGACTCAAGACTTAGAAGCGTCTTTGAGGTGTCTTCGCGAGATAGGATGCTGACACTTACGAATCGCGGCGGTGGCGGGATGGGCGGCTAGGGAGATGCTGTTATCTGCGGAGACGGTCTTGGGCTTTTAGGGAAGATGCTGAGGAGTGAGAGGTGGAGGAGGAGGAGGAGGAGCGTTGGAAGGTGGGGAGGAGGAAGGAGGTGGAGGAGAGGAAAGTGTGGGAGAGAAAGAGAGAAGGAGGAGGTTGGAGGTGGGGAGGTGGAGGAGGAGGAGGAGGAGAGGAGGAGTGGAGGAAAGGAGGAGGAGGAGGAGGAGAAGGAAAGTGTGGAGAGAGAGAGAAGAGGTGGGAAAGGAGAGAGGGAGAGGAGAGAGGGGAGGAGAGGAAAGTGTGGGAGAGAGAGAGAGAGGTTGGAGGGCAGGAGGGAGGAGAGAGGAGAAAGTGAGAGAGAGAGAGAGAGAAGTGGAGAAGGAAAATGTGGGTGAGAGAGATGAGGCGGAGGAGGAGGGAGGGAGAAGAGACGTGGAGGAGAAGTGAGTGAGAGGGAGAAGGAGAGAGAGAAGTGGGAGGAGAGGATGGGGAAAACAGAGAGGTGGGAGGAGAAGGAGGAGGGAAAGAGTGGGAGAGAGAGTGGTGGTGGAGGAGGGACGAGAGGGAGAAGTGAGTGACAGGGGGGGAGGAGGGAGGAGGAAGGAAGAGGGGGTTGGGTGGAAGAAAAGGTAGGGAAGGAGAAATGTGAGATGGTG